TGTACAAAACGAGTTAAACAGACATGGCCCCTGCCCCCTGGGAGTTTTCAGTCTAAGATGATGCTGACATGGACAGACATAAAGGATATTGAGACAACTGAACAAACATTGAACAAGAACATAAAGTACTAACATTATGCACAAGCAAAGGGGTAAGTGCATTTGATGGGGTAGTGTGTAAAGGGAGACTCATGGGTCATGGTTATTTAGACAGTGGGTTAAAAGAACTAGTCAGCTTCTGTCAAGTTAGGGTAGTCCTCATTGGGGAATTAGATTTTCATATAAACTTAAAGATAGTGATAGGACATTCCAGAAATAGAGTACAAAACAAGGACAAGGAGAGATGTCAGGTAAGGAGAAAAATGTATAGCTATATCGGACTTTTTATGACCTCAAGAATATATAGTTCTAGTTAGTTCTGAATGTGAAAGAACTGTTGGTGTTTTAGTTTAGCAAGTTCACTTTTGAGCTGGTCAAAACCAGTTCACTGCAAAACAGAAAGGAAACTTAAAAAACCTGGGAACTTCAGTGGCTTCTGCAGGCAGTCTGCTTTGCTTATTAAATCTTTTCTAAACTGATGGCCACTTAACAGAAACCTTGGAGTTCATGGGAACTGTTTGCTCAGGAATTTTTAAGAAGTTACCTTGTTAAGCACCTGTATATGCTCATTAAATCATGTTCTGTGTTAGGAACTTTAGCACCCTAACAATGTATAGACATTATGCTTCCCATGAACTAGTCATAGATGTTTTTGAGGATACCTTTCTATCCCAGAGAAAGGTCCTGGGTGTTCTGGGTATTATAAACAGTGCCAGCAGATGTTGAACATTATGGATTACCTGGCTTTCAGTCATTAATTTTTGATCTTCCAAGATGTGTCTTTAATAACCATGTATACCTAGACTTGATTTGAATCATTACTGCTGCAAATCTACTTTTGCAGTGCCTACCAGAAAAAAAAAACTGGTTACTATTTTTTTCAGTAAACTCTTCAGTAGTTCTCTGCTCACTTTTTAATGTTACTCAAATTTAAATGTAAAAATTTTAATGCATCCAAAATATTAGGGTGTAATTGTTCTCTTAAGGAGCTCTGGTGGTACAGCAGTTAAGCACTGAGCTGCTAACCAAAAAGTCGGCAGTTTGAACCTACAAGTGAGCAGCTCTACCTGTTTCTGCCCTGTCACATGAGTCAGAACAGACTAGACATCACCCAACAACAAACTGTGCTCTCTGTATCATTGGATTTTCAAAACTTTTATTTATACAAAGCTGCTTTAATCGCCAGCATTGTGTAAAATACAGTGCTGTTGAAAACGTAAGTGGTAAGGCCCACTGAAGCATAAAAACTCAACAATACCTTTTAAAATATTAAAACCTTTTTATGCATTTATATATTTAATTGGTGAATAAGTATGAATGCACTTATTCATACTTCCTTCTCTCCATTAAGAGTTGAAGTTTTCAAGAACTTGGCTCTCGCCTTTCCTCTCTTCCTTACAGCACTCTTTGTACTATGATCTAACTGTAAGAATCTAGTGCCTGTTGGTATTTTCCTAAGATTATAACCCCCAAGTCATGAGATTTTATACATAACAAGCTTCTGTATAAAATGGGTATGATTTAGGGACTGTCATCCAGAGGATTTTAGTGACTGCTCAAATAGTAAAATAGCTTGCCTAGATAATCTTTAGCTCTCAGAAATGCCTCTGCTGGATGGCAGTTTATTATTCTGATGTAATATGTATCATGAGGCATTTATCCTTCTTTGAAATATTTAACTAATTTTGGACCTGTCTTTATGGAAGAACCTTGACAGGTTTAGGCAAAGTGAACTAAAGAGAAAAGCCTAGATTGAACTTTGTCAGGCAGAAACTGGAATTAGGGGCTATAAAAGGCAGCCAGTGTCTTCATTTAATCCGACACGTCTTTTGCATATGACCCAAGGAGTGTATAGAAGGCTTTCAAAAGGAAGTGGAGGTGTTTTGTTTTGTTTGGCTTGTTGGGTTTTTCCCTCAATTATTCACAAGAAAATTGAGCTCATTATGTTAGAACCTTCTGAGATCTTCCCAGGAAGGGAAATTCAGACATCTCTAAATTGTCCATGTCCATGTTCATGATAGGTAAAAGTAGTATAAGTTACTTTTTAGGAATTATATTGCTTCACTCCATCAGTAGATAGTTGACTATAAATAGGAGTAATGTTCTTACCACAATATGATCCCCATCTACACTGAAGATAGATAAATGCCATGGAGAAAACAAACTATTGGTGGTTTTATTTAAAATGTTAGGATATAGAGCAGTGCTGTGCTAAGGTGGCAAGCCTAAGTGGAAGTGATAGTAAAATAAAAGTACCTTGTTGGAATGAAGGGAGAAGATGACACCTTGGAAGCATGTAAAATATCTTCTTTCCTGATGAATTCTGGTTCTGACTAGGTAGAAAATAGTCTTATAACTTGGACTAGGTACACAGTCAAGAGATTGTCATCTCATAGTTTCAAATCAATGCCTCGATAGAAAATTCAGTTCAAATAATATTTGAGTCACTTGGCAATGGGGATATATCAATGAACAAAACAAAAAGATCATTTTCCCATTAGAGCTTATGTTCTAGTACAAGGAGTCAGTGAACTTTTTCTGTAAAAGACCAAATAGTAAGTATTTTAGGCTTTTTGTGTGGCTTTGTTCCAATAATACTTTGTGAGAACAGGTGGCTGCATTTGGTCCTGGGCTGTAGTTTATCAACTGCTGTTCTAGTAGGTAGAAACAGAATTAATTAGTAAATTAGAGAGTGTTATAAATGCTTTGAGGAAAAGAAAAATAGACCAGAGTAAAAAAAAAGGGTAGTATTACGAGTAGGATTGGCCCTTTGGATTGAGGTTAAGAAGAGGAGGAACCAACAAAGGAGACTGAAAAGTAGTGATTGAGGAAATGAAAGAAAATCAAGAGATGGTGGTATCCTAGAAATCAAATGAGAACCACGTACCAGGCAGAAGAAGGCATCACCTATATCACATGTTGCTGATAGGCTAAATAAAAGGAATACTGAGCTTAGAGCATTGGATTTAGTTAGGTGAAAGTTTTTAGTGACCTTGAATGAGTTAAAAAAGAATTGAAGGAGACAAAGTGAGTATAGAAGACAACTCTTGGGGAACTTTGTTGCAAAGGGAGCGATGAAATGGGGCAATGGAAGAAGAAGGATCAAGAGAAGAGTTTTTGTTCTTCTAAGATAAAAGAAATAATAGCATGTTTGTTTGGAAATGATCCAGTAAACAATAGGGAAAAAAATGATGTTGAAGATGGGAGGAGAATTGCTGGAGCTGTGACCTTGAATTGGTGAGGGATGAGAGCATGTACAACTGAAGGGGTTGACTTCAGATAGGTGAGATGTACACGTCCTGGAAGGGAGTCTGTAGATGTTGTGGCTTCAGTTTTCTGATTAAGAACTAACAGTAGAGAATATGAAAGTTAAGGTACTAATATTTAATATATCTCTGGTCTTTAGCTTCTAGTACCAGCTTTTGAAGGATCTTGGCTTATTCACTAAGATGACTTAATGCCTTCTGAGGATTATAAACTTAACCTAGCAAAGTTATGTATTTTGAGGATTAAACTCCATATTATTATATTAAATAATAATGATATATGTCATGACTCTGGCACAGCTTCTGGTATAGTCACGGAAGAAATTTCTGCTTGTTGTTATTAGAGGATAAAGAGTTAATATGCACCTAATTAGACTTACTTTACCTCCTTGGGCCCAAAATATACATGAAAGTATGATATGTAAGTTAGAGCTTGACGATAATATATAAATATGCTACATTTAAATCATAGGCCTTTTGACATCCTTCCTAATGTTCTTTACAATATGATCTCTCTTTCTACAATGATCAATGATATTACTTGCCCCAGCGATTAGGGGGACTCTTGAACAGGGGCTCTTTGGATGGATGTTTAATTATTTTATTATTATATTTGCTGTATTAATTTCTTTGTACAGTGAAAATGAATTGCTTTTGTATATAGGATCTTCCTTTAGATTGTAAAACCACAGAAGGTAGGTAACAAGTCTAAGAAAATGTCTCAAGTACTAGTTTGTGTGAAGGGTATTCAACAAATATGAAGGTTCCTAAATCGAGAGGAAGGAGCTCTGGTGGCACAGTGGATAAATCATTTGGGTGCTAACAAGAAGGTCAGCTGTTCAAACCCACCTGCCGCTCACTGAAGGAAGATGGGGCAGTCTACTTCCATAAAGATTTACAGCCTCGAAAACCCAGTGGGGGTTACTATGTGAGTCAGAACCGACTCAATGGCAGTGAGTTTGAAATAGAGAGGTTTCATATTCCTTTGCTAAAACTTAGATACAACTGTTGGAATGCCATAAAACTGGCTTTATGATTAGAATAGCAAATGTGTTAGAAAATAACAATCAACTGAAATAAAATATATTGAATATCAAAGTAAGATAAATTAACTTTGTGTAACTTCAAGAAAATATCATTGGTTACTTTTCCACACTATATCAAGGAAGTAATGAGTAAAGTTAAAGAAGTGATATTCTTACAAAGCGCTGGAGAATATAACTGTTTCTTGGAACTGTTCAGGAAGAGTAAGGTGAAATGACCATTTTACTCTTCAGCTGCCAATATGATTAAAAGATCAAAGTGAGAGGATAATTTCCTTTATAAGTAGCTGTACTTGAGTCTCTTAAAGTTAGTTTCAGAAATAAAGATAAAATACTTAATAGCCATATCCTAGTATTTAGGAACTAAATTTTGCTACTCATGCCAATGGCTGAGAGATTATAAATCTATTCAAATCTTGCTTTCCATCACATTTATAACAGTTTTTTCTAAAGTATCAAGACATCCAACTTCATAAAAGTATTTTAGATTGTGGAAAATATATAACAAGTTTTTTTTTTTAATCCACTTTATGCTAAAGCTTTACTTTTTAAAGTTTTGTGTTAAAACTTTACTATTTTCTTTGTATTATAGGTCCAGTTGTTTACGTCCTGGATCTTGCAGATAGACTGATCTCAAAAGCCTGTCCATTTGCTGCAGCGGGAATAATGGTTGGCTCTATCTATTGGACAGCTGTGACTTATGGAGCAGTGACAGTGATGCAGGTTCACCATTTTTCTCTATTCAGTGATACTGCTTTTGGTGTAAAGATCTATTAAATAGATTTTTGTTAGGAGTTTTTAAGCTTATTTTAATATATAATAACACTCTAATGGCTTAAAAATAAGAAAATATATAAAAGCTGTCCAGTGAACTCTTTCTCTACTCTTGTCCTTCATTTGCCTAAGTTTTCCCTTACCTCCCCAGGTAACCACTGTTGTTAGGTTCAGGTGTATTCTTTAAGACTTTGTTTATACATATGCAGGCAAACATATTCTCTCACACACATGCTTTTTTCAAATCCAAAAAGTAGTATAACTGCATCCCTCTTTTTTTCAGAAACAGTGAGCCGTGGGGACCTTGAAAGTACAAACTGTCTTATACTTCTATATTCTATATTATAGCATCTACACAGAGACCAATATGTATGTTTGTTATAGTGCTAGGTGTCGTTGAGTGGGTTCCAACTCATAGCAACCTTATGTACAACAGAACAATATACTGTCTGGGCCTATGCCATCCTGACAGTCATTGCTATGTTTGAGTTCCTTATCACAACCACTGTGTCAGTCCATCTTGAGGGTCTTCATCTTTTTCACTAACTCTCTACTTTACTTAAAGCATGCTGTCCTGTCCTTCTCTGGAGTCTAGTCCCTCCTGATAACATGTCCAGAGTATGTGAGCTGATGTCTTGACACCCTCACTTTTAAAGAACATTCTGGCTGTACTTATTCCAAGGCAGATTTGTTTTGGTCTTCCTTATTCATTGTCCAGCTTTTGTATGCATATGAGGTGATTGAAAATACCATGGCTTGGGTCAGCCGCACGTTAGTCCACAAAGTGACATCTTAGCAATGAGCTGGAGTCTGTGTGAAATACCAAATAAATTGAAAACCCTGAGCCCTAGCCTCAAAGAATCTAGTCTAAGACTGCACATAAATGAAAAATAACTGGAGAACAGTTTAAGGTTAGAGAGACAAATGTGATGACAGTGCGGAAAACTACATAAACAATACTTTAATTTAGAAAAAGTAAAAGATTACTTAAAATCATAAGAAAAGTAAGTCTTAAGCTGACCCTTGGAGGAAATGAAGGATTTGGTGAAGACCTAAAATTATGATAAAACATATATATAGCTTATTACTGTTTAGAAGTCTCCTTCAAATGTACTATTTCATTTGAAAATATTGTTTTTTCAACCCAGAAATGAGAGGCTAGCTGTGGCTATAGGTAATTACTATTGTGTGCTTTAAAAGTATTGCAAAGACTTTACCTGCCTGAGCATATTTCAGATGGAATGTGCCCCAGTACACCTTCAGCTATATTTAGAATTTGCTTTTTATTACCTGTTTCTTTTTCTTCTGTTCTCTAAATACTGTGTAGTTCAAGTGAGTCAGATGAAGGAGAGTCACCATTCTTTTCCCATGTATTCCCTTCACTTTTTCATGGATCAGTCTCAGGGCCAATGTTTATCAGTTGTAGACAACTTGAACAGGACTTTCCACTTGGACTTTATTGAAGACAGCATGGTAGCTAACTTTTTTCCCCCTCCAGCACTGAGCTAACCACCTCTTAAGCACTGATGAATTTAGTCCTTACGACAATTTGATAACATACCTAACATTAGTTATTCTTAGTTAAGATGTCTGGTTCCACACAGCAAGAAAAAAGCTTTAGGACTGTTGTCCTAATCTGAGGCTCATTAAATTAAACCTAATCCCAGAGGCAACTGGAACATTGTAATGTGGAACAGTGGAACCTTAATATCCAGCCTAGTTCTCACTTTTGCCTCTAAGTGTACAGACAACCCCCATAAGCATTGTCCATTTTTAATTACACCACACTTAATTATCATTAATTCTGACTAAGAAAATTTGTTAGTTCTTCAGTGTTCCATCTTCCCATTTAATAATATGGCTCTAATAAATCAAAAACCAAACTCACTGCCATAGAGTCAATTTTTACACATACAACCCCCATTGGGTTTCCAAGTTTGTAAATCTTTGCTGAAGCAGATTACCTCATCTTTCTTCCACAGAGAAGCTGGTGAGTTTGAGCTACCAGCATTTTGGTTAGCAGCCAAATGCCTTAACCCCTATACCAAGAGCTCTCCTGAGGCTCTAATAGGCAGTGCTTTAAAAGATCACCACTCCCTTTCTTAAAACATACTATACTGCTACAGTAATCAAAACAGCCTGGTACTGGTATAACAATAGACAAATAGACCAATGGAATAGAATTGAGAGTCTAGAAATAAACCCACACATCTGTTGTCAACTGATTTTTGAGAAGGGTACAAAGTCATTCAGTGAGGAAAGAAGAGTCTCTTCAATAAATGATGCTAGGAAAATTGAGTTTCCACATGTAGATTGATTGTAGATCAATGCCTCATAGTAAACACAAAAATAAATTCCAAATGGATAAGGACCTAAATGTGCAAACTAAAGCCATAATTCTTAGAAGAAAAAGCAGGGGCAATTCTGTCAGGCCTAGCTTTTAACAATGGATTATCTAATTTAATAACAGACAACAAAATATAAAATAATTAAGAAACTTCAATAAAATTTTAAATTTTAATTATCAAAAGACTACCAAAACAATTAAAAAGACAAGCTACAAACTAAGGAATATCTTCAGAAACCATATATCCGACAAGAATCTAATAACCCAAATATATATAAAACTTCAACAACTTAACAAAAAGACAAATAACCCAGTCATAAAATGGACAAGAGACTTAAATAGACAGTTCACCAAAGAGGACATTCAAATGGCCATCAAACACGTGAAAAGATGCACAGCAAGCATTATTGGCCATCAGAGAGATGCAAATCAAAACCACAATGAGACACCAGTTCACTCTCACTAGGATTGTTAAGATAAAAAAAGAAAATAGCAAATGGTGACAAGTATATAAAGAATTGGAATTCTTACCTGTTGCTGATGAGAATGCAAAATGGTACAACTGTTAGGGAAAACAGTGTGGCATTTCCTCAAAAAACTAAAAATGGAACTATCATATGACCCAGCAATTCCACTTCTAGGTATATATACTTAAAGATATGAAAGCAGACACTTCAATACCAGTCTTCTTTGCAGCACTGTTCACAGTAACCAAAAGGTTGAAACAACCTAAATGCCCATCAACAGATGAATGGATGAATAAAATATGGTACATTCATATAATGGAACACTACTCAGCCAGTAGGAGAAACAGAGTCTTGATAATGCTAGAATATGATGGAACTGGAAGGCATTATGCTGAGTGAAATAAATCAATCACAAAACAACAAATAAATACTGTATGACCTCACTTATATAAAAAGATAAGAAAAAGTAAATATATAGAGAACAAAGTGTATTAGTGGTTACCATGGGTGGGAGAAGGAGTGGGGGTTAATAGTAATAGATTAAGGGTAGGGCTACACAGCCAGTTATTGTAATTACTGTCATAAGTTGTACACTTGCAAAGAACTGATAAACATCGTGTGATAGATACATTCACAACAACCTAAAAAAGAGAGTAGCTACTGAGCTTGCCTATGTACAACCAAAACCCTCATGGTTTTGGAGGTTTAGGATCATGGTCACACAGGACATGCCAGATAAATGGTCTTAAAATATTTTCAGGACTTCTGTTGTACCTCCTGGTGTAGTGCCTAAGCCATCTGACTGCTGACCAGAAGGTTGGCGGTTCAAACCCACCAACCACTCCTCGGAAGGAAGATTATTGGGCAATCTACTTCTGTAGTGATACTGCCTCGGAAACCCAAGGAGGGGTCGCTATGAGTCAGATCCAACTCGACAGCAGTGGGTTTTGTTTTGTTTTGTTTTTTCTGTTCTATGTCCTAGTTGCTTGCACAGTGCCTGGAGTCTTAAAAGCTTGCAAACGGCCATCTAAGACACACCAATTAGACTATTTGCCTGGGTAACAGAGGAAGAAGGAGTGACAGGAATAGGAGGAGGATATGGAATGTGTGGCTAATTATTTCCATGAACAACTGCCTCCTTTGCCATGAGACCAGAACTGGGTGGTGCCAACCTACCATTACTGAATATTTTGATCAAAGAGTTTATAGAAGAATCCTGATCAAAAGGGGAGAAATGTAGAACAGAATTTCAAATTCTCTTGAACTCCAGACTTCCTGGGAAGTTTGGATGAACTCCTAAAACTTGCCCTGACATCATCATCTTCAAAGCTTAAACCAAAAATATCCCCTAAGTCATCTTAAGACCGAACAGTAGTTTAGCTTAACTAGTAAAAAAAGGTATGCCTTGAGCATTATTCTCTTTTAAGAACTGTCTCTATGGGATCTGATTGACAACAACAGTTTGAAAGATTAGATAGAAACTTTAAGGGGCACTGAATTTATGTTAATGGAGGAGGAACAACTCAGAAAAGGAGAATGAGAATGGTTGCACAACTTGAAGAATGTAATCAGTGTTACAAAATGGTACATGTAGAAACTGTTGAATTGGTATATTTTGCTGTGTGTATTCTCAACAACCACCACAAAATTTAAAAAAAAAAAAAAATTGCCTTCCAACAGTGGTGAAATGCAAGCCTAGCTGGATATGAAGATCTGTTCTTGTTGTTCTTGTTGTTCTTGTTAGTTGCCATTGAGTCAGCTCCAACTTACAGTGACCCTGTGTACAATAGAATGAAACAATGCCCAGTCATGCACCATCCTCACAATTCTTGCTCTGCGTAAGCCCCAGCGTTGCAGCCACCGTCAATCCATCTCATTGAGAGTCTCCCCCTTTTCATTGACCTTCCACTTTACCAAGCATGATATTCTTCTCCAGGGACTAGTCCCTTCTGACAGCCTGACCAAAGCAGGTGAGATGAAATCTGGCCATTCTTGCTTCCAAGGAGCATTCCAGCTGCACTTCTTCCAGGACAGATTTGTTAGTTCTTCTGGCAGTCCATGGTACTTTCAGTATTCTTCACCAACACCCTAACTCAAAAGCATCAACTCTTCTTCTTCAGTCTTCCTTATTCATTGTCCAGCTTTCACATGCATATAAGGCAATTGAAAACACCGTGGCTTGGGTTAGGCGCACCCTAGTCTTCAAAGAGACGTCTTTGCTCTTCAGCACTTTTTAAAGAGGCTGTGGGGGGTGGGGGAGGTGGTATTTTAAACTTGTGATAGGAATTGTACAGAACACTGATCCTAGGAAAAATTGTGATGTTTAACATAGGGCAAACCATTTCCATTTCTACATCCCCCTTAAAAAGAGGTCTTTTGCAGCAGATTTTCCTAGTGCAGTATGACATCTGATTTCTTGACTACTGCGTCCATTGGTGTTGATTGTGGATCCAAGTAATAGGAAATCTTTGACAACGTCAATCTTTTCTCCATTTATCATGATGTTGCTTATTTGTCCACTTGTGAAGATTTTTGTTTTCTTTATGTTGAGATGTAATCTATACTGAAGACTAGTCTTTAATCTTCATCAGTAAAAGCTTCGAGTCATCTTCACTTTCAGCAAGCAAGGTTGTGTCATCTGCATATCACAGATTGTTAATAACTCTTCCTTCAATCCTGATGCCACATTCTTTTTATAGTCCAGTTTTGTGGATTATTTGCTCAGCATACAGATTGAATAAGTATGGTGAAAGGCTACAATCCTGACACACCTTTTCTGACTGAGGCTATGCAGTATTCCCTCTTTCTGTTCGAACAACAGCCTCCTGGTCTATGTACAGGTTGTATGTATGAAGATCTAGCTCTTACTTTTTTAGCAGAAAACAAACCTTTTCTCTATACATACATTCTATGGACATTTATTTTATATGTGCATGATAAAGTCTTAGAAAAGTCATTCTGTTGTTCCTAAATCTCACCCCAGAATTGAAGTCTTAAAAATAATCTGTTTTTAAATCTTGGGAGAGTAAGACCAGAAATGCACATGATTACACACAGGGAGGGTCACTGGTTTTGTACTGGCTAAAGTTAAATCACACCATTGCTTAATTCAGTTTTTATTTATTGAGCTTGAGTATGACTACTAGATCTTTAAATAAAACAACAACGAAAACACAGTTGCCATTGAGTCTGGCCTATTTGCTTCACAGCATTTATATTTATACATTTATTTGATTGTCTCTATTTGATTGACCCCCAAAAGACATGTTTAGCTCACCATTTTATCTCCAGCACCTAGGCCTGTGTCTGGCACTTAATCTGTACTCAGCTGAATGAGTACAAGTCTGGGCTATGTCCCTACTTAAATATAAAAAGCACCCATTTGGTCTTCTTCACATACTTTTATATAAGACATTACCTGGATTGAGTCTGTGCCTAGAATTTCAATTTGCCCTGACCATTCACAACTTGACCTTGTTCCACATCTCCATGTATTCCTTGTATTTCAACTCAAAAATCACCTGCTAGAATTCCCAGGTGTATAGTAGAGCTAACAAGGGGCAAGGTTGTGGTCACTGTT